ATTACATAGATAACTGTTACCTAGTACCACATTATCATATACTTAACTTAGCGTAAGAATTATTGTCTTCTTTGGTTCTTAAATAAACATTATTTTAAAATTTATATTGTATACTGAAATTAGTTTGTATTGGTAACAGAATAATTATTAAGCTCCAGTGAAATTTTTGTAAGTATAAAATAACATTAATAGTAATGATGTTACTTTTATAACTCATAATGTAACTGCACCAAATATAATGATTGTAAACCAAGATTGTCCCTAATTAATATAGTTTAGTGATTTTAATTGTTAATTAAATAACTAATAAATGATTTATTAATAATCACAAACTTATGCAAACAACTAATGTATAGTATAGCAATTAATACATAGAAAACAGAAATATTGTTATTATTTAGTAAATAGTATTTAGTTTAGGTATTGTATGATTGAGTGGGTTGCATAGGATATTCTATTTCAGTGGTTCTCAAACTGTGCTTCGCGGAGACCTAGGGCACATCTGTATTATTATTATATTTCTTAGTTTCATGAATTAAAGAACTAACTAGAAATTGTAGTAATAATCATAGTGTTCTTCATTGTCAAGCACTCACCATTAAAAGATGCCAAAAAAATCTGAAAAATGTCCTCGATGAGGCAGATTATAAATTTTGTAAAATCTCGACCATTGAGCAGAAGATAGTTCATAATTGTATGGGAAGATATGAGAAGTATTCATCAATCACTTTTTTATCATACCTAAATGAGATGGCTTTCTCAAGGTAAAACATTTGTATGTTTATTTGAATGTACGATTTTTTACCAAACATCCATTTAATTTACAACTCAGACTTACTGATTTGGTTATTTCAACTAAGTTATTTGATTGATATTTTACCAAAATTAAAAGAAGAAAATTTATCAATACAAGGTAAAATGACCAGTTTTCATGGCAAAGACAAAATCCGAGCTTTTAAAAAAAATTTAATTTTGAGCTGTATGTTTTTCTCAACATAAAATTGTTAATTTTTTTTTATTAAAGAACTATTTAGAATCAATTGATGGCAATATTGAAGAAATTGATGATACATATTATATACTATTGAACAACATCTAAATGAAATAATATTGTCATTAGAAAAATATTTTCCAGAGAGTAAAGATATAAATTTTATCCATCAATATAATTGAGTTAAAAATCTATTTTTAATCAACGATGGACCCGAAGACTTGTCTATAACGGAGTAAGAAGTATTTATTGAAATGACACAGTCTCATTGTTAAAAACTTTGTTTGAAAAAATATCTTGAACAGATTTGTGGTGCAGTAGCAGTATTACTTCCAAATATTAATCTGTAAAGATGGACTAGCACTTCTTCCTTTTCAACAACATACCTGTATGAAACCAGATTTTCATCATATACATCAACGAAAATAAAAATATCGCAATAATTAAGATGATGAGAGCGGTCATGCACATTTAACTCTCGTCTATCAAGCCAAATATTAAAATACTTGTCAATGAAAATGCCTACATCATGGATCACATTAATATCATTAAATATTAAAATGTATAAACTACTAAAATAATATGTACTTTTTCCTATAAACTAATTAAATAATTTGAAATTTGTATATATTCGTATTTTAAAGAAAAAATAATTAAAGAGCGAATCTATTACAATTTACATCATTTTGTATGAATTATACTGTCTCAAATAGACATTCCTGATTTTTGGGGCACCGTAAAGTTTTTTAGGAACATGAGGGCTCCGCGAACAAAAAGTTTGAGAACTGCTATTCTATATTATCCACTAAAATTTATCAAAAAACAATTAGTAATTAAATTTTTTTATGTAAATGGTAGAATTTACAGATAAATTAAATATTAATTATTTTTATATTGTATACTAATTACCTAAATACCTTGTGTAAAATTGTTATATTTACGTCATGTTTAGTCTGTTATGTCATCATCGACGAAAGAGTTGACCTATAAGATCATCAAGGATGGGAGACTGGATCGCTGTAGCCCCCTATGAGGGAGGATGTTGGAGACAGATTCCAATAACCGCTGTTACGAAACCGATACGCGGTCCAGCGACAAGCTTTTTTAAGGTCGTTGACCGTCGTCGTTGACTGACCCAATACTCCTCTGCTTCCTGCAAGTATCGGGGCTGTCGTCAGCTAATGTCTGGTGTCGGCGCATCTGGTTCTTCCTGTATCGTTGCGTTTCGACTACGAGATCGATAGCTACTATGCCCTTGGCAGTTTTTTTGTTATTTTTGATGTACCTCGTGGATTTCTGTCTCGTTCGTTCCGTCCGTCCACGAACGTCTGTCCGTTCAACTCCACCACGATTGTCGCACCTGTCCAGCCACCAACGCAAACCGTAAACGGTCTTTTAATATTAGCCGCGTCTAACGTTTCGGTTTTACGTGTGCGCCGCCGTGACCACGTGGAATTGCCTAGTTAAAACGTCACTACCATATTCGTCCAGCCACCGTTTTAGCAGTCATATGCATGGTCGTATAACTATTTTTTTTTTTATTATATTTATTTTATTACTCTGTTGTCGCCTTGTACCGGAAAGACGTTCCCGTCGCGACCTTTCATTTTTGATAATTTTAAGTTTAGTTAAATATTCATATTGTAATGAATACCAAAATAAAAGGCAAATATGCCATTTTAAATTTGTAAAAGAATGTGTTACCACTTATTTATGAAGGTAATTGATACCTCTTACCCCATTATCATGTACCTACTCATATACTTACATATACCTTACTCGGCGCAAGTCTCTGAGCNCAAAACAACTCTTAGATATCGGTGATGGAAAAGTTGCTATAGATGAAACTGGATACGTAAAATTACCGACCGATTTCTGCACAATCGCTGATTCGCAAGATACTCTCATTGAACAAATATTTCCCGATGTACACACACAGTACATAAATCATGAGTGGCTTGCAGAAAGAGCAATTTTAGCGGCAAAAAATGTAGACGTTGACAATTTAAATCTGAAGATACAAATGTTGTTGCCAGGGAACTTGGTATCATATAAATCTATTGATACAGTTTGCGACGACAGCGAAGCAGTAAATTTTCCCACAGAGTTTTTGAACTCACTGGATTTACCAGGCATGCCACCGCATAATTTACAATTAAAGGTTGGATCTGCGATTATCTTGCTTCGTAATTTGAACCCACCCCGGCTGTGCAACGGTACGCGATTAGTCATTCAAAAATTAATGAAAAACGTGATCGAAGCCAGCATTTTAAATGGCAAGTTCCGAGGTGAAAATATATTAATACCACGGATTCCTATTATACCTACAGATGTGCCAATTCAATTCAAACGTATTCAGTTTCCGATTAGATTGGCATTTGCAATGACAATCAACAAATCCCAAGGTCAAACGATGTCTATTTGTGGCTTAGATTTGAGAACACCATGTTTTTCACACGGACAATTATACGTGGCATGCTCTCGAGTGGGTAAACCATCCAGTTTGTTTGTGTTAGCTAAAGATGGACTAACAAAAAATATTGTTCACGCTATAGCATTAAGAGATTGATATTTTTAAGGAATAAATTATAATAACTTAAAAATAATGTTTGCCTTTTGTTATTTTTATATTCCCTCATCGTTCACAGCGCTCCATGCCTCTTTCACTAATTTACCACATCCTTAAACACTTACAATAAGTTAGTTATTTTTTTTCTAGACTATAGATTCTCTAGAAATAATTTATATGGCAAAACAACGCTTGCCGGGACAGAAAGATAATAAGAATCAGCATAATCTGAATAAGAACAATCATCACTTAAATAATAATAATAATAATCAACAAAAAAATCATAATAAGAATCAGCGTTATAAGAAAAAGAATAATCATCACTTAAATAATAATAATGATCAGTAGCAGCAGCATAATAAGCGTTAAAAAAAAAAACATCATAATAAGAATCAGCATAATCAGAATAACAATAACCATCGCTTAAATATTAACAATAGTAATCTTCAAAAAAAAAAAACATAATAATAAGAATCAGCGTAATCAGAATGAGAATAATCATCACTTAAATAATAATAATAATAATAAAAATCAGCACAATAATAATAATAATCAACAAAAAAAACATGATAATAAGAATCAGCGTTAAAAAAATAAGAATAATCATCACTTAAATATTAATAATGATCAGCAGCAGCATAATAAGCATCAAACAAAAAAAAAACATGATAATAAGAATCAGCATAATCAG